AGACTGAATCTGGTATAGATAGGTTGGAGTAGATCATGATATCGTATGTTTCTTTCTTGTTCCATTGGATCTAGCTATGAAACGAAGCTTCATGATGGGAGAGGTATCTTTTCCTTGCAGGTAAAGTCTGGTGGTTGTGATGAAATCGATTTACTTTTGGTTCAACTTCAACTCCCGTTGGATGGCTTATCCTTCCCTCTTTGGCTCCCTCTCCCGCACCATCCTTGGTGCTTACCAATATCATGTAGTACAAATTATGTTGTTCACACATTTATTTTTATGAAATATTTGTATCTGATATAAATTTAAAGGTTCTTTAATTCTATATATATATTTACCCGTTTAAATCCGAATAACATACAGAAAAAAAAATGTGTGAAATTTGTTGATTTTCTATCAACAGCGTGTTGCTTCTGAGCCATGACATTGCCTAATTCCTATGCCTCTTTTTAGCTTCCTTTAATTAATACATGGTCGATACATACATACGGACGATATCATGGAAGGCAATAAAATAATAATAAATTAAATTACTTCATCATAATTAGGATTTTTCATTATTGATCGAATATTATAAACGTTAGGTCAACATTAGTGCAGATAACGATATATATTTGTTATGTTATTATATAGATATCTTTATTATTTGATATTCATTTTCGAAATTAAGTTACAATATATAGACTTTCTAGTTCTACCGTCCCAATATCTTTTTGATTCTTTGAAACGTAATCAAAGTAGTGAAAACTAAACATGCGAAAAATGAGCGTTTGCTGAAAAAAACAACTTTTATATCTAAAAAACAAATAAGCTTTTATATTTTAATATTATTAAAAACTATTTGAGGGGAAAATATAATTAAATTAATATTACTTATTAGAATGTAAATTTATACATAGAGGTGGCAATTGGGTGGGGAAAAATAAAAAATCTTGGGAATCCGAACCGACAGTTGAGGAATAACCAAAATCTTCACCCACGGAAATGGGGATGAGGGAAGTTTTATCCACGAAGCTCAAATGGGGACGGGGATTGCTATATCCAAACCATAGTGATAACCGAACCGTACTGATGTGAATAACCGTGGAGATCCCTAGAAAATATCCGTAGGAATCCTCGATATTTTACAAAATTTTAAAAATATATTTATAATCATTTACCTATATACCTTTAATATATATTTTAATAAAAATTATATATGATAAAAAAACTTAACTATATATATTCTAATACCGCAATGGTTAAGATTGTATATATACATTGGGTGATAGATCGATATTGACGTTTGAAACTTTCATATTATAGATAGAGACCAATTTGAGACAATATGATATATTTTACAAGTTATAAGTATTGTATGGATTTAAAAAATGTTTGTTTAATTTTTTGGGATGAGTATTATCTGAAACATGCAGGGATTCATAAAAGATGGATATGGGGACAAAGAAAAATCCGCAAAAACACATAATGAAAATTCTTTAAAATTGTACCTGCAAGTGTTGAGGACGGAATGGGTAATGCAAAACTGTCCCCGCCCACCCCATTGCCACCGCTGTTTATACTTATATTTACATACCTTTTCTTTAAAAATAAGAATTTTAGTATGGTAAGGAACCAAATCCAAAACATAAAAATAAATTAAATTTGAACGATTAGAATGTGGAATTTACAAGACATGCCATGCCGGATGTTTGATCACGTTACCTTGCTTTGTTAGGTAAAGCTCAACGGCGGTGATGTCCTCTATCGATTACGGTTATTGGAAGGAGACCGCACAACCTCCGCCCATTCTCTTGCAAAAACATTCCAGAGGTAAACACCAAATGTCACCTCAACAAGCAATCCCAACTTATTTGGAAATCATATCTTATTATCAATTTGATGATTATGTGTATATATATTTGAAGAAGGGTTTATTTTTAACATCGCCCCACATGGACCAAAAAGCCTCACATAAATGTTAGGAACAAATGCCTTTGGTCATCACATTACCCCAAAATTTATATGCCATTTGGTCGGTATCCTGTCCCCTATTAAATATGCCCAAATGCCCTATTATTATACCCACAAATTTATAGATATCGACATTTGTTAGTTTTACTAAATACATTCAACTACGCTTGTTCCCAATACGCTTGTATTTAAATACATTCGAAGACACCTATCACTCTGTTAATTTAATTTATAATGAATATAATTTGTTTGGGTATAAGTACAATATATAAGTTTAGTAAATAAATTTATTTATATAAAAATGATCGAATATTTATATAAAAAACAAATAGTCATCAAATTTAAAATTAACGAATATCCTTTGAAAGTTTAAACCAATAAATACAAGAAGCGGCCGGGCAACCGGCTTGGAGAACATCACTGATGCATCTCTCGCACGTGTCCCTCACACGCATGGGGTAGCGTCGGTGGTGGATATTTAATTGTATTTAATTGTTTCTTTTCGTTTGACATCATCTGATGCGGCAGTAAATTAGTTCTCACAGTAAATCTATAATCTGCCAACATCCTATAAAGACCATAGGCGTTCGTCCGTCTGCATTTATGGCCCTACTTCTATTAGTAAAACCGTGTTGCACTGAAATAGTACCCTAAGGAAGCAGAATTTGACCTAGATTTGAGTCTTTATTTATGTAGAGAATTCTTATTAAGAGATTCATCTTGTAAAATTATGTATTCGACCTGAGTTAGTTTAGATTCATCCTGTAAAACCTTGAAATTAAACGAAAAAAAAACCCACAATTTGGTAGGAAGTTTAATTAATTGTTTTTAATTTTCATTATATATTTATACATACAATATTTATTAAAGTAACTATAATTACATATAATTTTGCGTTGACATATTAATTTGAAATTAAATACTAAAATAATACTCATTTTCGATCATTTATTAAAATAATGATAATCTTTACTTGAAACTAAAATAATATATGAATGATTGGATATCTCTTATACGTAACAGTTAGGGTGGCAAAGGGGCAGGGCGGTGACGTTTTTGTGTTATTCATTATGTCTTTAATATTTGTAGGTATAGATTTGGATAATCGTTATTATATGTTTTGAAGATTTTTTTTGTCTCCATACTTATTTTTTATGAATCTTTGTGGGTTTTGATTAATCTTTATCCAAAAAATAAATAAATATTTTTGAAATTAATGTAAGACCTAAAACTTGTCAGATATATCAGATTGTCTCAAATTGATCTCTAACTATAATATGAAAGTTTCAAACGTCAATATTCATCTAACACCCAATGTATATACAATCTTAACCGTTTTCAAGCGCAACAAATCAATGTATATTAAATGATAAAATATCTAAACTTCAATTTCAATTCCTTTTGAGATGTAACAGTAACAACACGTAATCTCATAATCTTATCATATATAATTTTTTATTAAAATATATATTAAGGGTATATAGATAGATGATTATAAATATATTTTTAAAATTTTGTAAAATATTGGGATCTCTACGGATATTTTTCGGAGATGTCCATGATTATTGATACGGGTACGGTACGATGATCCTCACGGTTCGTATATAATAATCTCATTCCCTATCTCCATATGTACTTCAGGAATAAAACTTTCCTCATCCCATCCTAGTAGATAAAGATTTCGATTATTCTATATCAGGTCGGTTTGAATCCCTAAGTTTTCGATTTTTTCTCGCTGATGGCCGCCCCTAATAACAGCTAAATTTAAGAAATTATGACTGTTATGACGTATTTTTATTAATATAGAAGACCCATGAAAGATTCGATAACTAAGCATACCCTTCATATATTTTGAGCAAGGCACAGTCAAAGATAAAATGAAAAAACAACAACAAAAAGATAAATGAATTTAGTTTCAAAAGAAAAATATATATAAACGGCATGTATTGAATACATGTGTTAATATAATTATATGAATCAAAACTAGGATATATATATATATATATAACATATTATATTTAACTATTTGATAAAATAAATATCTAAAGCGAACTACCGTCTTCATTCAAGTTAACTTACGCTAACACATACATCATGTATTTTTCTAGATAAAATTTATTTTTTTATCAAAATTCTTTTTGAAATTGATCCTTCAATAGACACGCACCTTATAACACTTCCAATGTTACATAAGGTAAATATACATTATATCAAACGCGATTTAAGAAAAATGTAATTAATAATATACAGATGAAAATGTCAAATTTACTTATGTGCTTAAATTATTTATGAAAATTTTGAGTAAAATTATCAAAATATTTTAATATATAAAATAAATTTAAAATAATTGCATTATTTGAAAGAAAAATTATATGTCCTAAGTTCGAACTACGTTGGTTGAGAATCCTAGAAAAAAGCGGGAGAACAGAGTGGTGGATTTTTTGAGCCCCTCCAGAAGTTACCTTGTAAGATCGGATTCTTCAGGATGACCTTGGATATTCTACGTTATAAAAAAAAATTGCATGTGAATTTATAGGAATACATAAAATGTCAAATATTAATATATATATATATACACACATACATACATAACTTACAGTCTCTCAAGTCAGAACACAACAGCTGCTTATTTAGCTGTCCTCTGGTTTTTTATTCATTTTCCTTCTTTTCTTTATTCGGTTATCCCCAGAGATTTTCTTTTCTCTAGATTATATTCTTTCCCCCTGCTTAACATTTGAATTTTTCCGGTAATTATCTCGGGGGGGGGGGGAAATCCCATATTCTCAATATATTCCGCCCAGCAAATTCCGAGCTATTTCGGGTACACTAATGTCGGAAGAGATCTGAGATTAAGGTTCTGTTCTGTTATAGTCAGCGATCCGGGTGTTTGGTTGGGTTTTCTTGCAGCGAAAGGATCGAAGGTGTTGTTCTGTTCTTTTTCTTGCCTTTTGCAAGGCGCCATTGGAAAGAAAAAAAGTAGAAAAAGGAAACCAACAAGGCGAAGAAGACCAAGAGTCATCCAGTTCAGTTTCATTTGTCGTCGTAAACACGCGTGGCCGTAGGAGTTGGACTCGTAATATGTCCGTCCTTCAACTACCTTTGTCTGAAAAATGTTTTTCTCTATGATTTCTGTTACAGAGATCGCTCACTTTCAGTCTTCGTAGAGATCTAAAACCAATCTCACTCTCCCTTGCCTTCGTAAATATTTTTCGTTTACTTTAAAAAAAATGATGGCAATGAAGACTAAAGAGACAACGCTGCCGGCAGAGATACACGGCCGCTTAGCCTCAGGCGGTGGAGGTGAACCGGCCGCCCGTGAATGGGAGCTTAGACCCGGAGGCATGTTGGTTCAGAAGCGAAGCCCGGATTCCGATCGAATCTCAATCCCACCACCGACTATTAGTGTTAGAGTCAAATATGGTTCCATCTACCACGAAATCCACATCAATTCGCATGCTACATTCGGTAAAAAAAAAAAAAACTATTTTCCGCAGAAAAAAATCAGTTTAATTCCAGTGAATTAATCAAATCAAATTGGGTTTTTTGTTGCAGGGGAATTGAAGAAGATGTTGACCGTACCAACCGGATTACACCATCAAGATCAAAAGCTGTTATACAAAGAGAAAGAGAGGGATTCCAAGGCGTTTCTGGATATGGCGGGTGTGAAGGACAAATCCAAGATTGTTCTAATCGAAGACCCGATTAGTCAAGAAAAACGATTATTGGAGATGAGGAAGAATGCTAAGATGGAGAAGGCTTCAAAATCCATCTCCGAAATCAGCTTGGAAGTCGATAGTCTCGCCGGCCGGGTAAGATTACGTTCAAATTCTCGTATGATCATGCAGTCCTTATTCTGGGTTTTGATTAAGGTTTGAATTACAATTTCGGTGTCGTTATCTTAGGTTTCGGCGTTTGAATCAATCATTTCAAAGGGTGGGAGAGTAGGTGAGAAAGATGTGGTCATTTTGATTGAACTTTTGATGAACCAGTTGCTCAAATTAGATGGGATTATGGGTGATGGAGATGTCAAATTGCAAAGAAAAATGCAGGTAATGGGAAAAAGCTTAATATTTCATAAACTTACTGATAGTATATGTTAATTTATGGGATTTATAGGCTTAATTATTTGCCATTGTTTATGTTAGGTCAAAAGAGTCCAAAAATATGTTGAAACATTGGATATGTTGAAGATCAAAAACTCCATGCCAAGCAACAATGGAGCTCAAACAAAGATGCAGACTCAGCATAGGCACACCAATGGGCAAAACCTAGCCCCAATTCAAGAGCAGCAGTCGAAGCATTCGGGTTCGGAAGGGGTTGTGGTTACGACGGATTGGGAGACGTTTGATTCTTCACGGGCGTTGTTGCCGATCCCCTCGACATCGAAAGGCAATAATTCAGTCCAGCCAAAGTTCCCTTGGGAGTTCTTTGACTAAGCAAATAAGCCATTGTGTCTGTTACTCACTGTATGTGTTGGATGAGGTTTGCGTTTGCGTTTGCTTTGCAGTTGGGTTTGCAATCTTTTTCTTCTTTCGGTATGTGCTTCATTCTTTATGTGCTTATATTTGTATTGGGCAACTCTCATTTAGTTCACCAGGAAAATAAATGGGGGCCTTCCACCAAAGTTATGACTACAGTTAAAAGGAGCTGGTACTTCTCTCTATTTTTCATATCCCAATTTGTACTTTCCTACATTTGACGGTGACAAACACGTATTTAGTTTTTTGTGTTTATTTTTTTTAAATGTTTATGTTCAGTTTTTTAGTGTACAATTCGATTGATAATTAGAGTTTACCGGAAGTACCGAGTTTCAACAATTGTCAACCTTTTTGTTCCGATTCGAACAAGATAAGGGGTTAGTTGTTCTTTTTTCCTTCGTATCTTATCCAAAATTTTCTTCACTTATAAATTAAAAGATAATAAATATCTTTTTTTGAATACGAAAAATATAACAAATATTAAATATATTTAAACTTAATATTTTTTTAATTGAATTTAAACTTAAATTTTCGTATAAAATATATGGGCATCGATATTAATTGAACTAAAATAAGCCCATCGGTGGATGAAGTTTAGGGTTTGAAGATACAAACTATTTTAATCCTCACACCTTACTTACAGTGGGGACATCATCCAACTTTAAACAGACCAAAAAGGAAGACTATGATAATTTAAGCAGTCCAATGATAGGAGGCCAAGTATCATGAAATGGGCTCAAAGAAATGATTGGGGTTGTGTTGTATATGTCAGGATACCATTGTTTTTACAAATGTCAAGTGATCCCATTTACAGAATAAAGGCAGGTTGAGAAAAACCTTCCATATATGGTCCTTAAAACACATTTTGATGTTCGTAATTCATATTATATTCAGAGTTGGACGGGGTGAGATCCAGGGGTGTACCCAGTCAGAGTCCATATACATACACTACCACCAGGTGGGGAGGGTGGGATGGTCGCCCCCCTTAAAAATTACAAATAAATTCTTATCGTAAGAATAAAATTTGTCATTTACAGACAAAAGAACCCAGTGTTCTGCTACATGTATCTTGCAACTTTCTTTTATGGAAAAATGCAATTACAATTAGAATAGTAACAATATTAATTTATTTTAAAAAATCAACCAAATTAATTTTTTTAGTTTGATATACGACTATTCAAAAAAAAATAGTAACAATTTGATATATGAAAAATAGAGTTAAATTTCAACTTCTTTTTATTTCTGTGTTTACATGATGTACCATTGAAATGCCTAGCTTGTACACTTGTATTTTGGGGACACATAGGAAAACCTTGTGTCCAGCGAATGGGAACAAATGGGCTAAAACAACTAAGCCCACATTCTACCATCACCTGGATTTCTAGTTGTAATTGGAAGCCCAAGACAGTTTCTCAAACCTAACCATAGATTTATATATTATGATTGAGAAAGTTAAATTAATGTTAATGCATAACAATCTGATCACTTTGGATATTTGATGTTAATATTTAGTGTATTAATCATACTTATCTTTAATGCTTAATATAAAGTTGAAAGCCATAGTTTAAAGAGAAGGTAAACAAGTGTAATTGTAATTTAATTGATTGGTGTCCAAAATGGCTTTGGGGAATGTCACTATAACGGCCCACTAAATCTAATAATATTTAGTGAAGGTTGCCCCAACTTAGCTTTAACCCTATAAAGCACTTCATCGAACAATACAAAGCACTTTTTTGCTTACTAATCTTTTAACTGTTACACAATTATAATTAAATCTTTATCCTTGCAACGTTAAAGCAATGATATATTTAAATAATAATTATATAAATCTAAAAACTATTCTATAACAGTTCGATAAAGATTAGTGGCCGTCTCATAATAATCTTTTAATAACTATTTTAAAGATTATTGGTCAAAAAGATATTTCTATACGATTTAATGATTATAATGTACTTCACCCGTGAGAACTTTTACTTACTGTCCTTGTCAAAGGCTGATATTTTGGTGTGAATCCACATTGGTTAAACAAGAAATGAAGGGTAAATAAAGAGGGCTTGTCAAAAGAAGCATCTTTTTCTTCACTGCCTTCTTTAAGGAAAAAAACAAACAAACAAACATTCATTGAAGCTTAATTTATAGGTAAAATTGCATACTCTTTCCGCAATCGCTTATGTGTTGATATGTTTATGGTTGGATAATCAAAATTTTACATTTGATCTTAACAAAATTATCTCCATGTGCTAAATAAAACTTGATATAAAGGTGTATAATGTAATACTATTATTATATTCCAACTAATGAGAGTTGAAGAGATGTTGATAATGTAGTGTGATGGTATTCAGTAGCGTAACATGTTGAATATTGTATTGCCTACTTTAAAGGAGAGTTCCAAGTTGAGACGGATTGGAGGGGCATTTGAGCAGCCAAGTCCTAGTGTGTCTGAGAAATGAAGGATGATGGAGCCAAGCCTCCGATCACGGGTTGTCTGGGTCATAATCCGAGGGTTGTCTGCATGAGAGGGCTCCACTACCTCAGCTTTTGCCATTATCCCCGTAGTATTCCCATTATCTCCAAATATTCTATTCATATTTGTTCTCTGAAAACGACAACTATTCTGTTCTAATATTCTCTAAAGTGCTTCTTTGCCTGCAAGCAATGCGTCACATACTTATCCTTCCCAATGTCATCTACTGCAATGCAATCTAATATTATATTTTTTGGCTGCTTTCTTTTACTTTTGAAGGAAGAATGGGTTTTTCTTTTATCTCCAATATGTGGGATCTTATACCCACCCATACGACACTCTTTTATCTTTTTATTTAAGAAGAAGAAAAACAACGGGGCACGACTTGCTTGCCGGTTTCATGGATGTCGATAGACTAATATTCATTTCGTTTTTCACTTTTTCATCCACTTTGCTTTCTTCTACATTCTTATCTATTGCAATGAAAAATAAATTGAAAGGGGAAAAAAGTTATAACTTAAACTATAATTAAAGTGATTAATTGATCGATTAAATTCGGAATGCAATAATTTTTTTATGTTTATCAAAAAATGAAGTAAAAAAATTATGTTTATTAAAGTGACTTTGATTCATATCCCAATCACAAAATGAGAGAATCAAAGTTTAATTTAATTAATATGTAAATTTGTAAAACCTAAAATTGGGATTAAAATCTTAATATATTTTTTAAAATTTAAATATAGTGAATGACGGTTAAGACTTTCGTAATAATCGGTTTTATTCTTTTTACAAATTTATCTCCAATATTATATAAAACCAAACGTCGAACGGTGGAATGTTGGGCAGTACTGTCATGCCACAATGGAAACATTCTACAAAGTTAATTAAAAGAGCCAATAAATAAATAAAATAAACTTTAGGGCTTCCTGATATTAGTGTTTTTGCATGATTAAACGATGTTTCGGTGACTCTTGAATGATCGGGATCTCCGGTTCCACAGGAGAATCAACGGAGTGCTAAGAAAACGAGGAATGATCTGGGGGGATGGAGTCGTAGGGGATGATTGGATTGTGAATTTACAATCAGATGTGGGGGATATTCAGATGAGCTCGAAGGAGGTGTCAATGATGGACGTGGGCGATATTGGTTCTGGTTCGATTAATGTTAGACAGCCTTGCTCAAACGACATTGAAGGAGGTGCTTCAAAAACCTATGTTGCACGCTTATGGGGGCAACGGGGGATGGGGGATTGGTTGATGTTGTTTTTCTAGATTGTGATGTGGAACTACAGGAGGGCTACGTTCGTGTCGATAGAAAAGGGCCATACCCTATGGTTCACTTCTCCGATAGAGTGCATGATGCGATTGATGCAAATATGAAAAAGTCAATAATTGTTTGACTTTTGGGGAGAAAGATTGGTTATAGGGTCATTTGGAACAAAATTATGTTGCTATTGCAACCTCAGGGTATGTTTCAATTGATGGACCTAGAGAATGAATATTATCTCATTCGATTTGAGAAGGATTATGAATACACATCATATAATTATCCCTCTCAGGTTATGGCATGGGTTTGCCTCCATGGTCTCCCTTACAGGTATTATTCTAAATCTTTGTTTCGTATGATAGCCTCGAAAATTGGGAGGGTCATAAAGATCGATTACAATACAAGCGTTGGCGAGAGGGGGAAGTTCGTAAGACTAGTAGTTGTAGTCGATCTCAATAAACCGCTACTTATGTGCATTGGCATTGATGGATTTGCTCAACGATAGGAGTATGAGGGATTACCTTATATCTGCTTTCAATGTGGTGTATATGGTCATTCAAAGGAGGAATGTGATAAGAGGCATGAAAGTGCATCGGAGATTGCGGAAAATGAAAATGGAAATCTGGTTCAACAACAAGAAAATGAAAGTCATTCCTAGGAAATCTATAGTCCTTAGATGATCGCTACAAACCGTAAATGAAGTCCTAGACAAGCTAAGGAAAATATGGTACGGGATGCAGGTAGTTCGGTGGTGAAAACATCCAAACATAGTTGGTTAGGGAGTCTTGAAGAATGTTCGACCAAGGCAAGAGGAAAGTATTTGGAATTAGGGGACATGGATAGCTTCAGTGTCGACTAAAAAATGGTGAATCGAGTAGGGTGACGAAAAGAGTAGAGTTATTATTCATGAACCAAATACTCGGATACCGTTGGGAGAGCAACGAGAAAACACTATTGGGAAAAATGTAGAAGTTTCGAATAGAAACAGACGAGTAGTTGTAGTGAAATTCTCCCCATTATCAGGGAATAGGGAACCATCTATCTCTATTCAGTCGCGAACAACTATGGGAGGAATCATATTGTAGTCTCCATTAATGATGGATCTTTGAACAATCGGAATGTTGGAAGGGATAAAGGGCACATGGTCCGTTCGAATATTTTAAAGGGGTCGATGTCTTTGAGTAAGAAGAATATGAAGGTAAAAAAACTCCAAGTAAAGTTCCTGGGTGGCCGTGTAACATCCTCAATACCGGGTTAGTGATCAAATTGTAAAGTTTCAGAATTTGGTGACTAGAGTAGAACCATGGATTTGTTCAATGATTTATTTAGAAATAAATCATAAAAGTTGTTAGTAATTATAAGATGAATTAA